TATAATAGAACAGTCTTTCAAACGTGATTCTCTTGTGATATATTGGATCTCAGCTCCTATAATCTCTGCCCAACAGAGCTGCAGATGCTGGTCGATGGGAGTTGAAGACCAACAAAACTAAAAGGCACCAGACTGGAGAAGAATATAATAATACATCTGTTGATTTATTAATACCATAATCACTTTCTTTCAGTGAATAGATGAACATTTGCAAACATAACTTCTCATAGATTTTAACTACAAGAAAAAGGAAAAAAAGTTTAATCATTTATTTGGGATTATCTGGATTAAAAAATTGTGTTGGGAAAATGTTTCCCATTTATAGACCATTTCCAATTTCTCAGATCAGGCATACCTATCTTGGTGCTTGAGACAGAAAATAGTATCCACCCTAGCTAAATAAGATAATTTAAAAAGAGGATTCATTTGCCACTCGTATCTTTCAGCTGCCTCCTTAGAACCCCAAATAGAATTGACTACAAATTTTGTATTGCCTATGAATCTTTATGTGGCCTTGGATATGTCTTTCTCTTAAACATCACTTATGCAATAAAAGGGAAAATACTACTGTTTCTTTCTATAGACTTGTTATTAAAATTACAATGAGCAAAGGCATGGAAAGCATTTGTAACAAGTGAAAGAAGTAGTTGTGAAAGAGCAACTTGAGGCCCAAGGGCTTCAGGCAATACTACAACTCATTTTTTGCACCTCTCAAAGATTTGCTAAATGTCAGAGACATTTCTCACCATTCTGAGACAGGAAACACAGAAAAACTGTAGTGTAAGTGTTAAAATAGGGTGATATCATTAAAAAAAGTAGAAAACCAAACTCTTCTGTTCAAATCCAGAAACAAAACAAACAGATAAAAAACCAAAATGGTCCCATCCACTTTGCATCAATGCTCTCTCCAAGCATTATAAACATTGCCCATGCCAGCATTATACAAATTTTAAGACAAAAAGACAAACAATAATAAGGGTAACATCAAAACACATAAAAAAGTAGGTTTGCAGATAGCTTGAGTTTTTCACATTGAATTTTGAATGGGAAGGGGGAAAGAGTGGGCAGGAGAGAAAGATTATGGAATTCTTTTGAAGTTCGTATAGGATATATAGTCTTGTAAACATGCCTTTGTGCCACAGTACACAACATGAGACCACTTTAATCTCCTCCATTCCCTTGCACCAAAGTTGGCATCAACAGTGTCCATAGCAGATTGCACTGATACCAAAATGACAACTCATATGTGATGATGTAATTTCATAAATGCCACAATTATGTCTTGCATTCATAATAAGAGGAATTTGCATGATTATATCATCACATACTTGTCATCATTTCCTGTCTACCCCCTGGACATCCATGGTTCCTTTAAGGATATATCTAACCTCTTGAGCATTTGCCGGGAGGGAGGGGAAGGGGTAGGGAATCTCCTTTTGAATCTCAGATGCTTCCCCACAGAAATAAATGTTTAAGCTGCCATTCAGTCTAGAAAGCCTGCAAATATTCTCTAACTCTTGAATGGGATCAAGTTTGGTTCAGATACAGATTGCCCTTGACATGAGCAATCTTTAGTATGAATTAATCTAATTGAGCCATTAAGCCCTTCTCCAAAATGTTTACCTCTCAGAACACAGGCAGAATAATGCCTGCAAAATAGTGCAATATGAGGAGAGGATACATTTTGTAGGAGTGATTTTTTGTTAGATCTACATTCAGCTCACAATCCAGCAACTTTCCCTTCTGTAAAATGAAAAAAAAAAATGTTATACGCACTACTGATGTTCTTAAAGAGGTGACAACAGAAGTTTGTGTTTGCAGTAAAAAAGCCCTATGTGTATTTGATTATTTAATAAGCAATATCACATCTAAAATGAGTTAAGAAGAGCTGACCGTTATAGGTTATGTTCTCGATATCTATGCTGAGTATTTTTACCCTGACAATACTTCTTTGTGCTACATCACTAGGTAATTACACTGTGGCTTATCCAAAAACTTAAGGGGCTGCTGCCATGAAGAGAACACCTGAAAACTCAACTACAGGAGTGGAACTAAACATAAAATATTTTAGATCTTATCAATATGAACCATATTAATCAAGATATCTGGCACTATATTTTATGCTTGATTTGTGACTCAGCTTCTTTATTACCTCAAATTACAGTAGGAAAGCTAATTTACACAAAGGGACACATGAATGAATACCATGTCCTGTGAAATTAGAATTAAATATACTTTCTGGCTTAAACTATTCTAATCCAGGATCATGATGCACTCTCCAATAGAAGCAGTCTTTTAGAGTTCATGTTAAGAGACTGCTATGAATGGATGATAGTGAAAATCCAAATAATTAACTCTACATATCTTTCAGTTTTAAAAGCTGGAAAGAAGAAATTCACTATAACTAAAGATAAAAAGATAAAACAGATCTACACTTATTATTTTCAAAGAATAATTATTGCACAAGTTTAATTAGCTGCTTCTTCTGGGAAAGCAGCTAAAACGACATTATTGGACCCCTCCCTGGTTAGATCACGAAGGGAGAGGTAAGCAAATTGTGTGGACTCTCCGGCCTGCACAAATGACAGAGACAAAGTTGGATTTAGCCCAACAAGACTGATATTTTGTTTATGGCTAAGCTAAGTCCCCTTTTACTCTGCTGACTATTTACTAGTGGGCTCTTCTCTCTCATAACACTGAGGAAGCATCCTAGAAAGCCCCACAAATATGGGACTTCCTAATACTGTGACCACTTCACAGTCATCAGGACATGTCAGCTACAAAACAATTTTATCTGCTATCTACAACTTTATTCAAACCAATGTAGGACAAAAGTCTCTATTTACATATAAAACAACTTTCAGTGTGACCAATTGTGCAAATTAAAACCTATCAAAGTACAGGACCCACTATATTAACCCACCAGATCTGCACTTTTTTAATCTTCTCATATTCAATCATTGTGTTTCTGGGTATGCTTATGAAAAAGAGAAACTGAATTACTACTTTTCTGGGAATACAGTATCCCTGTTTCAATGTTTTAAAAATCTGTACAGTCTCACAGGAGAAGATAGGTGGAGAAAGGGGACTGTTCTTTGATCCATCAACGTTCATTCTCTTCTGTTCTTTTGTAAGTTCTACAGGAGGCATGGAATAAAATTGAGATTCACCCTATTGGAGATTCAAAAGATCAAAGATTTATCTCCACCAACCTCATCTCTTCCCACAGTATGAAGGAAAACAAAGGAGTATGTGTCCATTTGTTTTACCTTCCCTCTCTTCAAAATATGGTGCTCTATCTTCTCCATGTTTCCAGAGGCCAAAAAGCTTTGGATGATATTAGTAAATCTTCTACTTTTAAGATAGCTAGCTCATAACCCTAACCCTAATTTAATTCTTTGTCCAGTGGGTACACCAAAAGTATTTTAAAAACCCTTTCTAAATTCTTTATTGATTGCAAATTAACACAAAAATAGAGGGATACAAAACAATGGGGGATTATTGTAACCAACTGGTAAGATATATTCCTAAAATTCCTACCACAACGTATCTACATCTAAGTAGAAAGAGAAGAATTTTGGTTAGCAAGAAAACATAATTATTGTTCATTTTGGTTTAAATAGCAAAGAAGAGAATAATTTTCCATGGATTATGAAGATAAAGATCTACAAAAGAACTAAAGGCTATTTTTTAATCTACGAGAGGGACTAAGTGCAGAGCTGGCTCTTTGTTGATTACACTCACCACAACCAGAAAGACATCCTGATAGAAATCTCAACAGACAACACTCCTCCTGCAGCCACCAGGAAGAAAATAATCCACATTTAGAGGAAACTTGGGACAGATAACAGCCTCTCCCTGGGAATGCACTTAAAAAAACCTTCTTTCTTAGAGGTTGCTCCTAAATTACTGGTTTAATTCAAGTCAGCAGCTTTTTATTTCATTACCAAATAATGTAGATTCATAACATTTGGACCTTACAAAGAGATATAAACACCCACTCCTTCATGGCATTTTAAGAGCGCCCCTTTTCAAAAATGCCTATTTTTAGTGCTAACTCCATACTTTCTCTGCAGTGACAAGAATCCTCTTTAGAGACAGAGAAATCAGTGATTTAAATGTACCTTCATATGCGATAATACAGTTTACTAAAAAGTTTGTTATAAATTTTAATGCACACATTTTTGTACTTTTTTTTTACCCATCCACACATAATGCTGACAGTGTGCTTTTTTTCTTGTGTTTAGTAAAACAATTATATGACAAATCAATGGGACATAAAACCTTAAGCTAACAGAAAGGCAGCAGCATAAAAACATGTGGAAAATATTTTCTTGGCCTATGTAGTTTAGGTTTCACTGACAGTATACAATAAAATACGTAAACTATTTAAAATTGATTGTAGACATATTTTTGAGAGTATAGAAATATAGCTTATCATTGAAGAATTAAGAACGTGTTATTTGAAAATGATAACTGTATGCAAAATAGATTGGAGCAACACACTGTTGAGAACTGTAATAAAATATTCTGACTTCATGCATGCCATAATTACATATTAAATATATATATACAGGACATGTTACAGTAACTTCCAGGTAAAAGAAGGCATAAATATATATGTTATAAGTTTCTAAAAAAATATTTCATTATTTCATCCGTTGAATTCTTACAATTTTTACACTTCCTTCTCAACAACAGCGTTAACATCACTTGTGGAAGTCTACGCACACACATGGATTCCTTAATTACCTCTGCACAATCTCAAACATTACAGTGGTTTGTGTCAAACCATTTTGGTCTGAGGAAACAAAGCCAATAAAGAACCTGTTGGCCTTTAGATGTGCTGAACTAACATTCTGGCTGGGGATGATGGAATTAAAGTGCAATATACCTGGAGGACACAAAATTGGGGAAGGATGATTTAAAACTATAGTTTGCATTTGCATTATTATTGTTATTGTCATTGTTCTCCTGGAGAACATTTTTGTCCAACATACCTGAGTTTGGATTCTATTAAGCCCTCTGAACCAGAGGATTTGCCCACGCCGAAGTTCCCTCTCTGCATGATCAATCTCTTCTACATCTTCACTCATCTCCTCTTCGGGCACTTCTTCTTTTAATGTAAGCCCTCCTGCTTCCTTTAGAAATTTTAATCTACTGGTTGGGATGGTTGCAATGACCTAAAAATAAACATTCCAATTATGCCAAGGAACAAAGCTTGTAGACAGAATATGAAAATTTACAGCATACAAAAGATACAAATGATAAGTTAGGGGGGAAAATGATACACAATGACTTAGCAGAGAAATCATATTAGCCTCAAAGCCTTTAAAGCAGACTTTCCCATCTTAGTGCCCTTCGATGTATTAGAAATAAAGGACAGTGGATTGGGGTTTGGACTAAAAGACTGAGAACCAGTCATTCCTCCAAGGTAAATGCTTGGAGATGCCCAGTGAAAATGGGAAGTGGCCATCATTACTAGCTTCCACAAAGGTACTGGGCGACTGTCATTTCCCTCTTTTTTTAAAAAAATGCTGAAATTAAAAAAAAAATCAGGGTCAACGCCAAACTGAGTTGGGTATGACTTACCCATCGCTATTCTTTTCCACCCACATTTCATACTCTCCCTCGTGGACATGGGAGGGTGAAAAGTAAAAGGGAGAGAAAGAGGGATGGAATTCTAAGAGAAGCCATTTTGTCGACAACACAGTTGACTTGGGGAATTACCCCCCGAGGAATCCTTTGGGCTGCTTTGGTCACTGACTGAATTATGGCATTTGTGTAACCTACAAATCCTGTCATGACAGCGCAGCACTTCAGATTTAGTCTCAAAAGAAGGATGTGGAAGTATGAATATAGCACTGTCTGCAACACCTTAAAGCAGTTGTATCTTTTCCTAACATTGCTTGACCTCAAGAAAGGGTGTGTCGGTTTTAAGGTGTTGTAATGCTACATTTGTGCTCCTGCCCTCTCTAAAGCACTAGTTAGGAAACTAAAAAAAGCATGGAACCCTAACTCGTTTCTTCTTGCTGTTCCCAAGGACGTACCAGATTACCCCAGCGCCAGGCCTCCTGAAGCCTTTACAGGAAGACATGGCAGAATGTTGAACCTCATGCTAATGGAGCATCTTTCCTTGAAGTGTTAAAAGTCATATCTGTTGCAAGGCCCACGCAGCTGTCTCAAAAGCTCTTCTCAGCTAGTTCTGCATGTGTGGGAGTCCCAGCAGAAATCTTGTCTCTCATGCACAGATGTGCTCAGATAACTAGGGATAGGTGTCTGAGCAGAAATATGAGCCTTGTAGCTGCTTCAATCATTAACAGAAAAGTGCTTTTTTGCACCCACATATTCTAGACAACCTCTTTGGAATGCTTTGCACAGCCTTAATTACTGTCTGTAACAGTTACCCAGGATACAAACAATTGTCTTGAAGAAAACTTATTCCAAGAATAGAAATATTTAATCTAGAAATACATAATTTATATTCTAATGTATAAAAGGAAAATGATCCTTACCTGCCCCCATACAAGTTCCCCTAATCCAATAAATACACACCACATCCATTGGTCAAGTTCCAAAGGAGAACAACTAAAAGGTTTTCCACCAAATTGTACAATTACTATCTACAAAAGGAAAAGAATGATATGAAATATGCATTTACTATCAGAGCCACAAACCATGCCCTAGCATTTTCTTCCAAAAATTAACATTCATTGTTTTGTTTTCTGCTTCCTTAAAGAAAATAGTACCAGTATGCTTTTGGACCAATAAAAAAACAGACCATTAAAAAAGAGCAACAGAATACCTCTGGGTGTCCCCTATAGTTCAGAGCTCATATCACTCAAATGCATTATTAGTAAGCTACAGCCTATACTTGCATACAGACAATCACCCAGTCTGAAACAGATTCTCACAAGCAACAAGAAACAAAGGACAATGATGCTAACGTGGAAACTAGACCCTACAATAAACCCAGATGTCTCAGTTGCCCCAGTCTACACCAACAGTACCATCACAAGTCCCGACAAGTACACACATATGACTAGAGGCATCTTCACATGCTCTTCCTCTAATGTGATCATGCCATCATATGCCAGCAATACCCCTCTGGATTCTACATAAGGCAAATGGGACACATTTTGCACAAAAGAATTAATGGACATAAAGTTGACATCACGACTCAAAACAAGGACCAAGTAATATTAGAGCATTTCAAGCTCCCAGGACACTCTTTGACAGACCTCAAGGTGACCATTTTGGAAAAAACGTGAGTTTAATAGCACCATTAAGTAAGAAATTGTTCAGTTCACACACATCAGACAGTTTCAGGCAATCTCAGAAGGTCTCAACAAATGCAATGGGTGTTTAAGGCATTTCAATTGTTAATTGAGAGGGGACTGGCAATCTGTCTCACATATAACCTGCATCTGCGTAATCAACCTGACTTTCCCTTCCTTTTCCCTCGACTCTTGGCCTCATCCCAGCTTAAATCTGTATCAGTCTAGCCACTCTATGCATCTGATGAAGTGAACTCTGGCTCACAAAAGCTTATGCCCCTTAATAAAATTTGTTAGTCAGAAAAGATGCTACCAGAGTACTGATTTTATGCTACCATAAAATAAATAAAACCAGGAATCTGATTTTATTTATATTTTGGTTTTATATTTTATGTATTGTACATGTTTTAATGCTGTATGATTTTGTTTCTGTTTCTGTTTATTGTTTGCTTTCATGTTGTATGCCACCCAGAGACACATTGTTTGAATTGGGCAGCCTTATATATCTGGCTAATAAATAAATAAAGTAAATAAATCAACTAACACAACTTTCCTCCTACAATGAAAAGAAGTCATATAGCAGATGAAGCTCCAAAAGAAATAAAATGGTGGGCAAAAATATGGAATGCTCAAGTTTATATAAGGAGGAGTCTGAATTTTAATAATGACCAAATTAGCAATTTATTTCTACAATGTCTTTAGATTTTTTAAAGGACTATAATATAAGATGAGTGTGTGAAAGGGAGAAAGAGTGTACAGTGGAGCATGCAAATAATATCTTGCTGTGTTAGCATTGCCAGTTGATTACCTGTACAGCAAATGTACCCAATACAATAGTGCAAAATATAGGGTTTCTAAAGATGCCGTCAAAAACATTTCTTTCGCCATGGATTTTGCGTGCATTGATTTCATTAAACAGCTGCATCATGACAAACGTATTGAAGATGATGGTGTAGTGCTCAGAAGGTGGAGAGTGGAGTGGTGCATTTCTGCCACTATCGATCTTGAACATTTTTTCACCTGGTCAAAAGAGGAAAACAGAAAATAAACAGCATTTAAAAACTTTTACCAGACAGTTTCAATTCAGAACATAATTTGTTTCCAGATCATCATCATGTCATTAGATCAGCTAGATCATCATCACCGGCATCATGGCAACAAAATTATGAAACAAACTATCTGTTCTCCAAGTATGCTGCAGTCCACAATTTCCAAGGTGCAATTTGTCCCGGACAAATAGGACCATTCATCTCTAATTACAGTATCCAATCTAGTCATTTAGAACCAAATTTCAGCAGTGCAACTGAAGGTTTGGGGTAGGGTTAAAAGTAGGAATGGGGCCAGGGCCTCCTTGGCGTCCTCTATTCCCACTTCTACCCTTAACTCCCCCAAAACAAACAAGCAAGCAAGCCAAAAATAAGTCCAGAAGACTCAGCTCTGCCATTTTCCAGTTGTATTACTGTATCATGGAAGCTCCTGCAGCCGTCTGGAAGAATTTTGGCTCCCCATCACTGACAGGTGACTTCCTTTACACTTAAAGGAAGGATTCCAGTGTATTATGTACAGTAACTGCAAGCTTTTTTCACCCATGAAACACAATGCCATTTGAATTAATATTACCTAACAATATTAGAACTGAAACTGAATTAAAGTAAATTTGCATAAAGCTCAACGTTAAGTGGGATCATACAATATGGTTAAGTAGTTAATGTGTATACATTTTACTGTATCAAAAAATTATATTTCCAAATTTAAGAGGCTTCCTAAAATGTGAAGCTGTACATTTTTCATTTATTTAAATGGGAAAATACAGCTTGGCAATAAAATATATTAAAGAGTCATAGAAGGAAATGCACTAAAACCTGAAATACATAATCATATCCTAACAATAATCAAGCCAGGATTAGGGAGCTGGAACTCTCATTGCTAAGAAATAATGCATACATATGCTGTAAACCCTGGATTTAATGGACCTGGATTTAGCAGACATTGGGGGCAATACATATGCTTCTGCACATGCATTAAATCCTATTTTCCATTTTAAGCAAGTGTAGAATGATTAGAATCACATTTGCAATTTTATGCATGTGCAAAATCACATTCAGATTTAAATTCTGCCCCAGTAGACACCCCCCCAACCCCCCAACCTCATTAAATATAATAATAAAGCAAGGCTTTATTACATTTGAATGTGGTGGAATGGAGAAAATCAGTACGCTAAAAATACTGTTGATAAAAGTTCCCCCCAAAGTAGGTTAGGGAATATGGATAGTGTTGCAAGTGGTATAACAATGTATCTTATAACAAGATAAAATAAATAATACTGCATAGATTTTAATTAACTAGAAAGCATAAAACAAACTCATCTAGAATTGTGATTGAAAATTCTAAAATTACAATTTTTTGGTAATTCCTTCCAAAAGTAATTTAGAATTGGAGTAGAATAATTAAACTCAGATCACAATACCGAGGATGATTTTGAGATGGATTAAAAAATGAATGATTAAAAGAAGGCTGAAAAACTGAGTAACAAGTATCAATAGATTTCTCCAGGAAGCATGTTTATTTAAAGTTGCAATACAAACTCATTTAGAACTGATACCCTAAAACGAGAAGCACCAGAAACATCATTGTAATAAACAAGAGAAACCCATTAAAAAAAGAAAGAAGAAAACCTTTAGAAGTTGGAAGCCTTGTCCGAAAACAAGATGGAGCAAAAAAAAACAAAAAAAAAACAATTTTAAATTGATAAGGAGAAACAACTAAATTGAACATATAACTAAAAGTCTGAAGATAAGCACTAAAATGTTTTAAATGAATCAAAACATTCAACTAGTTTGATGGATTGCTAGATGAAAGGACTATTAAACAGTGAAATTACCAAGACACAAAATAAGCATTGTGTAAAATGGTGGGCAGATTTCAATAGCACATCTGGACCTATGGAGAAGATGTGACTCAAAAACTTGATAATATATACTACCATTTTTTTTCTTTACTAGTCCTTTCATTGGATCTTTTAAAAACAGCACTGAAACATTAAAATTTTATACATTCATAAAATCATAGAGGTGCTCAATAAAATGAAAAAAATGACTACCACGTCTGTAACGCCTTCAGCTTCACAACATTGTTAGCATATCAGTTTTGAAGAAGAGAATCTGTTTCAGGGTTTTCTAGTTTTTTGAAACACAGGTTCATTTCATCTCATTTGTATTATTACTTTGCAATGGTTGGGTAAACAACTAAGAGCATGGATGAAATGTGTTGTTGCCTTTCAAACAAACTGGTACAGGGGGTTCCCAGCTACACTCCTTGATTCTTTTTATAAAAGGTCTATAGTTCTGTTTGCAACTGAATGTGATAACATTGCAGCTGGATAAGTCCAGTCAGGAGAAACAACTATGACAAATTTTCAAGATACAGGTTGGTTGGGTCTGTGAGTAAAATGGGTGGTGTTGGTGGTAGGAAATTACAAGAATAAACTCACTGGTCTTTTCTAGGCATTGTTCTACCATCACTTAAGATGAGAGACTAGGAGACAAGGAGTTAGAGTTAAAGCAACTATCAGGATCTTTCTCAAAACCCAAGATGTTGTGTTTGAGTTGACCTGTGTCTTGATCACAAGGATTACACTGAATTGAGGCCAGACTTGTTCATCACTGAAATACATCCTCCCCTGCCATGGCAACTATGATTATGTTTCTTTTCTTTTTCCTGTCATTGCCCTTAGCTGCCCTTCGCAGGAAAGGTTAGGACTACAGCTTTGGGAGGACCCAGAGTTGCGGAACAGACCCGTCTGCTCTGCCTGGCTTTCTAAAGCCAACTCTTCTTTGCATGTATTTTTTAGCTACTATTGTCCTATATTTTCTTGACATTTCACTTTTTTTTTTATACAAAACAAAACAAAAACAAAATCACCGACACATATTACTGTGTAAAATATACACATGATTTGATTTAGCTTGGGTCTAGAATATGTTTCCAAATGGAAAAAATATTAAGTCAATTTGTACAGTACAGTCAGCGTTATGAATCCATTCTGAACATCTGGGAACATGATTATTCTCCCACTACACTCAAAAATACATTAATTAGTAAACCATTTTCAAACTGAAGATGGAAGAAAATTCAATCATCGATAATTATAATATATCTGAATATTCATCTCTTCTACTGCAGCCTTTACGGTACTGTTATTGTGACACCTTGACAGCAAATCTCGGAGAACAATGTACAGGCAGTCCCAGATTACACAGGGGTTCTCTTTGATTAATCTTTGGGTAATCTGATTTTCCTGTAGATCAGATTATACGCTATATACATAATATCAGCTGCCCTTTTTCACATGCACAAAATATCATTTTATATATGCATTAAACTGGAGGCCATTGTATTTGCATCATTTGCATAAAGTTGGGCTTACATAAATCAAGGCTGGTACATCCTGGGGACTTGTGGTGCTCAGCTAAGCCAGTTACTTGCTTTTCTTCTGAAAGAGTGAGACCCACTAAATTGCTGATTCCCAGAGTCTGACAAAAACATTGTAGAGAACTACACCATTTTTGGGTGGGGCTTAGAAAGTTTCAGGTAGCTAAATGCTGCAGTTTGCATTGCTGGAAAAAAGTTTGAAAGCCCCACTGAAGTTACCATTCTTGTTGCTCACTCTTGGACCTTCCTTTTTGTCTGCTTATATTTTGCTGACTCATGAACATGTAATTCAGCTTCACTTAAGACCGTAATTATTGATTTACTAAAACCTGATTCCTCTGATGTGTTAACTTTTGTCCACCTTGAAAGGCCTTTTCATGAGCCAGACCACAGATTGGGTGTAACTCTGAACAAAGCAGGACAGACAAAAACTAAATGGGACAAACTGAACTATTCTGAATACAGGCTAAATTCCATTTATGGCCCTTTCAATAAGAGTTTGGGACCCTAATATAACATAAGTGCTTATTAGTTTTAGGCCTAAAGGACCTGAGACCAGGAATCATGATCAAAACTTAGCATGGATGACCTCCACATCCAAGGCCAAGAAAGAAGTAGTAAGAAATAATTTACTCCAAAAGATTGTGAGGAAAAAAAAGCATGTTTAAACCCTAAACTGTTGCATGGAACAGACTGGTTTGCTAGATTCTGCAGTAGTTGATCTTTTTTATTACTAGGGTTTAATGTATCTGCAACCAATACCTTATTTATCTGAGTATTGTCCTTGATTCTTTCCCTACTATTCTTAACTGCTGGTTGAGTTTCTAGAGAGCTATTTATTGCTGTGTCCTGGGTGAAGCTCTGACAATATGTGAAGGGAAAAGGAGACCCTGATGCAATCAATGGAACCATAATGAAAGTCATAGCTGAGCTCCATGTCACGTAGTAAGCCCCTATTGAAACTTCAACTCGTTTTAACGTATTGGTGAAAAAAAGGTGAATTCTCATCATATGCGTATAAATCTCTGGATTCCCTGAAGTCATTCTTTGAGCTATGTTCTCTGGACGAGTTTATGAGTTCATGGTTATGTGGGATCCCATGTTGTATATAGTTTGCAGATTCAGGCAGGGCAAGTAATTCGTTATTTGGAGCTTACAGAAGTAACAATAAATGATATTTGAGCTTACCAACAAAGAGGAGGGTAAAAATTAGAGTGAGTTGATACACAGCATGACCCAGAATATTTTTCATCATGGTACGAGAAATAAGGGGTTTATTTCTACCATATGGTTTTCTTAGCAGTAGAGATTCTGTGGGAGGTTCCGTAGCCAGAGCAAGAGAAGCGAAAGTGTCCATAATCAAATTGACCCATAGCATCTGTACAGCTTTCAGAGGAGAATCCTGCAGACAAAAAAATGATAGAAGGTAGCATATCAACAACTTTATTATGTGTAGTCCTTGAACAATTCTCTAGAGCCTGTCTTAGCATACAATTGCTTTGCCATTCTAATTTCTATGTGTCCACACAACGGGCAAGGAGATTTAAATGAGAAAAATCCATTAATGTGAAATAATGATAATGCACGAATCTGACCCTACCTTACCTAAAACCATCCTTCCATCGGTCTCCTTAAATCTCATTGTGCTTAAGAATGTGCTGATTTTTCCACTGAGAGTAGGAACAGTGGAGTCCACACTCTCAATCCTAACCATGAGGATGAGACTGGGAGATAGTAGGAAGCACAGAAACAGGATGGACAAGAAGAGCAGTCTTGGTTTAGAAAATAATGGGATATCAAAATGTCAGGCCTATTGTCTAAACCATAGGCAAGTTGGTTCCTTCAAATATTTTAGACCTCAACTCCCATCAGTCTCAACCAGAGTGGCTAGTTGTGTAGGACTGTGAAAGCTGTAGTCCAAAATATTAGAAAGCACCTACCCATTTCTTAAATATTCAAGGATTTATTGTTAGGTATTCATTTTCAGTACTACATAAGCAACCACTAGAAGGAGCTATCTGCTCACTAAAATTAGTAGGAACAACCTTGGAGTCTCTAAACAGAATATTTAACAAAGAACCACAAACTAATTAATATCTCAAGAGAGAAAGTAAATTACTATTAAATGTGTTTTATTAAACTGTGGCTTCAGTAATGGCCCCTTCTCAGTATCTTTCATCACTGCAAACTATAATGACTTATGGGACAGACTGATATGATAAACCAGTGAGAAATGAAATAGAATTTTTTAAATTAATTGAAATAGTTAATCATGCCAATTTGATTCAAATCAAAGGTTATCACAACGTGTCTTAATTCTAAACAAAATGAAAACTCAACTAGACAGTGCAAATTATTTCAAAATTAATCTCATCATTCACCATAAATGAGTAATAAGTGACTTGAGCAAAATTCTACAAATCTACTCACAAGGAAGTCTCATTAAGTCTAGTTGAATTTGTCTAAGTATTATAGAATCGTTACTTGAATTCTCACCTTAACAACATTCACCATTTTCACTATTGTTAAGTATACATGAAACATCCTAAAGCAATACACACCTTGTTATAATGGTGTTAGATAACCCCTCAAGCCATAGAATTAGTCCTATTATACTGGCATTTTTGCTGTAAAAATAATTCTGCTTTCAAGCATAGAATGCTTTTATAGTTGTACCAATGTAAACAATTTTTCACATTTTTAAGTGGCTTGGTAAGATCTGGCTAAGCATTGCAATGACAACTTGCTTTGCTTACCAAGGAAAACTTTCATAAATTTAACTGGATTAACTGAAAACAAATCAACCAACTGGCATATCCAGGTGCTACAGGTACAAGCAGCCTTTCTTTCGATGGCTGGTGTGGGTCTTCCGGGCTGTGTGGCCGTGTTCTTGAAGGTCACAGATGCTGGCGAAATGTTAGGAAACAGAACTTCAAGAACACGGCCACACAGCCCGGAAGACCCACACCAGCCATCGTATGCCGGTCGTGAAAGCCTTCGACAATACAGCCTTTCTTTCATTCAACAGTTTTTCTAGACCTCTCCTTTCCCCCAAATGTGATCTGGAAGTTCTCCAATCACCAGAAAATATTGTGAGGCCATATGAAGAAGGGAAAAATGGGAACTTCTCTCTCCTCATTACCTATTTTCCTGTGATTTTATGTACCTTAAAGTAGGCAGGGACATATATGATTCTTGTAGACATTTTGGACTACTACTCCCAGGATGCTAGCCCCAATAACTTTGGAAGGAATCAGGTTGCCTGTTTCTGCCTTGAACATCAACAACAAAGAGAAAAAAAGCTAAGATCTGTGAAAAAGATGATGGTCTGAACCAATCAATCAGGCTCAGAAGTTAGAGTACAGTTTGTATCTCCCTTGCTGCTTCTCTTCTGAAAGCTAAATTCATTTACTCTTCCACTGAGCAATGTGACCACATGCATCTTGTGTGAGATTAAGGGATATTTAGAATTGAAGTCATCAAGTTAGAGTTCCAAACAGTTAAACGTTATTTCTGGAAGTGTTAGTTTTAAACGTTGTTCTCACCCCATATGAATCTCTATTTTAAAAGTCCCTGTTGTGCAAGTGCCAGCAAAATCCAAGAGAATTGCAGTGTGTAATGAAAAGCACATTTCTCACTTTGATCCATCCTCTAAATTACACATGTGTAATTGTCAGCTCTTGCTTTGGGTAGCACTGCATTCTCACTATTTTACAGGGCCAATCATTCCATGTTGCTAAGGTGACTCTAATCATTATCTATCATCTACTACTCTGCACAGTTCAGTCAAGGGTAAAAGCTCATTCTAAACCACAGTCTAGGCATTAAACACACATTCGTTTTGGCACTTGGTGGAATGGCATTGCTACTGCAACTCTTTCACATTTCTGATTATTTCTTGGAAATAGAGCAAAGTGTACGTATATGTGAGTCTAGATTTAGACTTGTATATACATAAAGTGGCTGGCAGCCACTTTGCAGAAGAATAAGAGAGTATGTTTAGGGGACTTTTTTTGAAGCTATTCTGCTGTGATGGTTAGCTACTGGAAATAATAACAGCCATAATAACAATCAATGAAAACATCCTTATCGGGCCTTAGATGATACTATGATCCACATAATAGCAACATTAATCTTGGACTGTACCCCTCCCACCCCCCACAACTTGGTATGTACAAAGAACATGCCAAGCTTTTCTTCAACTCTATCTTGGAAAGCACATATAACTGAATCACTAAATGTTGGCTCTACATCCCAACTCTACATCCCAACATTTCAAATATATTTCATGCATTATTATTAGATTTACCTCCAAATCTTAAGATTACTAAAATTGAAGCAATAATAAAAAATCAACTATAGGTAACAATATAGAATAGTACAGCAAAGCCATACACACACATACACACACCCCTTACTGCTCTATTTGGTACAATAATTGGAGTGTATCTGTAGCATTTTTAATACCTGTAAATGTATTTGCAACATTTATTCTGTAAAATATTTGAACCACAGTATATTATAAACATACTATGTTCTCTATTTCTAAATATTTCCTATAAGGAATTAACAATGATACAAAATGATACACTTAACAAAATAAAATATATTACTTCTTTTCAGGATTCTTTTTTGATAATGCTTTCAAACACTATCAAAAGGTACAAAGTTACTGATTATTCATTTTTTTTCCCAATAAACCAATTAATTCTTTTCTAGAATGATGATGGCTTCTCAGCATGGTTCATTCACCCACATAGAAGACACAGGGGCTGCATGGGGGTGGTGTTGGTGGGTTAATAGGATCTCCCCCATTTCCCTCTCAAGCTGGTTTCTAGGTAAATGAATTGTCTAGGCCAGTGTTTTTCATCCTTGGCAACTTTAAGATGTGTGGACTTCAACTCCCAGAATTCCCCAGGATCAACCTCCTGATGGGTCAGAAAGAATGATTTCCATATATACGAAGTTAAAGTCCAACCAGGGAAGGCTCTGGTGAGCTTTATCATGATTTATGCAATTGCTTTCTGATGTGTTCATTCATTACATTTTAATCTTCCCAGCAATAATATCCCTTCTACATATCAACTAAAGCCATGGAAAGATAGATCAAGCCCAAGCTTCTTAAAATATTAAAATGTACAATGACTGGAAAATGAAAATGTGGTTGGTTGGGTTTTGGCTTAGTATATTGTGCAAACCTAGCAGTTATGGCTTATTTAATTAATGATGGTTAAAAAAACAACACAGAGATCCATTTTGACTAAGTCAAGGAGATGCACTCTTTTCTCTATCGTATTTCTCTCTGTGTTATTATTTGCTTCTTTGCGTCACATAGTGTAAATAAATACTACTTATTGCAAAAGTTGACCTGGCTTTTCCCGCCTCCCTGCATGTTTTTAACTGAAATGCATTATTTGAGGTTTTGTTGCTCAGAGGGACTAATACCCATGAAGAAATCAATAGTTGCAACCTTTGAACACCTTGAAAAATTTAAAAGAGTAACTTGGGAGGAGTTCAATGTTGTGGCTTCCAAAAGAGACTGCCTCGGGTTTCACTTGGCCATATCATGATGACAAGGTAAACTTATTCTTTACAGTACACCTAATGACTTATTCATAATTTGCTCCATGAGGCTGAACTTTCCTGTTGCACCAGAGTGAACAATATGTGCTATGTGAATAACTGCACTATGTTTTCAAAGGTAGATTTTTTTACAAGCTTCTATAGACAATGTACTGTGTGTATACGTACACACAGACACACACACACCAAAAGAGAGTGTGAGACTGTACTTTGCACCACAGCTTTTGAAAATCATGATATCATATTTCATATATTTACAACTGAAAGATGTAACAGTGTTATATGCAATTTCTTTCGAATACAACTTTTCTTCATTTTAATTTCCCTCACTTTTGGCTAGATAAGCAGGCATGAGAAACTTTGCACCCTGAGGTAAGAGACCTCTACTTGCATAATGGGATTTTCACCATTCCATATCCCATACAAGCCCTTCTAATCTTCTCCAGCTATCTAAAACTTTGAGACGTATTTAGGGGCAATATAGGAGACTTCGTTGCAAGGGAAATTTGTATGGTTTGTAACTTCTGTTCTGTTGGTGGAGAGCCAGCATGGAATGGATTCCATAGATTACTACTGCATTCCTAACACTGAATTTAATATGACCCCTTCCTCAACAGAAAGACTACACAGGTAGTCTTCACTTACCAATGGTAATTGGGACTGGGAACACTGTTGCTAAGAGATGTGATCTTAAGGTGTGACATGACCACCCCAACTTATGATGCCAGTTTCAGCAGTCCCAGTTGCTGTTGTTAGGTGAATCTTGTGTGGTCGCAGCATCCCATGGTCACATGATCACCATTTGTGACCTCCTGCCAGCTTCCCCATTGACTTTGCTTGTCAGAAGCCAGCAGTGAAGGTCACAAATGGTAATCATGTGACTGCGGGACGCTGCAATGTTGCAGTCATGAGCTGGTGGCTGAGTGCCTGAATCATGAACATGTGACTGTGGGGACCCTGCAACAGCTGCAACCATGAGGACCCATCGTAAGTCCCCCGTGTTCAGCGCTGTCGTAAGTTCAAATGGTCGCTGAATGAGTGGTCATTCAGTGAGGAGTACCTGTATAATCTTAAATGCTGTCCCCCAATTATAGCGCCCTTTGAATCACTCTGAGCTCATGGGAGATTTAAATATTCACATAACCTGAGGCCTTTTTTTCTAACCCTTATGGATTTTTGCCTAGCATATGAAGCACAATGCAGTGACCTGCTTTAGCTGCAGTGGCACAAGGTACTGCTTGGTGCTGGTACCAAAGAATTTATAGAATTTATAGAATTCTTTATATTTATAGAATCACCAGAACACTGATTCTTTTCCCTTACATTAGTGATTGTAACTCACTTCTCATCTCAGTAATATTAATCAGCCAGCTGTGGCCAAACAAGGTACTGTCTTAATGCAAAGGACCACCGCAATGCCAAGAGTGGACCTTGAGCTGATATGGGGTTTCATGTTCTGGATCCGATAATAGCACATCTCTAGTTTACTCTCACCCTTACCTGAGTAATGCAAGCACCAGTGAAAGCCACAATCACAGCCACCACATTTACAGTGAGTTGGAACTGCAGGAACTTAGAGATACTGTCATAAACGTTACGGCCCCACATTACAGCTTTCACAATACTACTGAAGTTGTCATCTGTGAGGATAATATCAGAGGCTTCCTTTGCTACGTCTGTTCCTGCAATACCCTGAAAAATGAAGAGATGCCATCAGTAATTCTTTAGAAGGAGTAATAATGGTTCATTTTGGATCAGCACTTTCAGAATTACTTTACCTTTAAATATCCGTTGATGAATAAAATAGCAGCCAGGATCTAAAACACTGTGAAAGTAATTTCTTGGACTAGCTCACTATAACAGACTTTGTTATAGATGGCAAGTGTATCTGGAATCTGTTTGTGATCTGGCATATTGCTGATGAGTGAAGTTATAGTTATCACTCAACTAATGGACATATTTTCAAACCATTTAGAAAATCCAGGTAAAGTAATAGCACAAGTCCCACAGAGAATATGAACTACTATTATTAAAATATATTGCTGCATAGCAGTAGATTGAGGGAATGATCATTGAGAACGTTTTTTTAATCATTAAAAGAAAGTTTGGGAATATGTTTTACCCTGGTTCCAAATGCAATGCATTCACTCACAGAAGCAAATCAAATGAAACCCAGATAAGAACTGAAATATACCATTGCAAAGCCAACGTCAGCTTTTTTAAGAGCTGGCCCATCATTAGTTCCATCACCAGTCACTGCTACAACCTGCCTCTGCTCCACTTGCGTGCTGTCAATGATACCTGCAAAATATGTCAATGCGAGTAAGTAATCATGTGAATATATAATGTAGGTATGTAGCTATTTTAGAAAGCTGCCCAGCTCCAGAAGGCTCTGTGCAACATGCAACATTAAGAGCAACAGAGATTTTTTAAAAATGAGAAAACAACAGTGTATGTCCCAGAAGAACTAACATATAAAGTCTTACAAGGGTCTCACCACCAGGGGAAAAGCCAGGTTTTCAAAGACTTTTCAAAGATAGTCAGGGTGGTTGCTATACGGATCTCTGGGGGGATGATATTCCATAGGGCAGGCAGCATAACAGAGAAGGCGTTTCTTAGTCCTGCCACATCACACTGTTTGATTGACAGTTTAATTGACTGGGGTGTGCCCACTCCAATCAGTTGTATAGGACAAGCAGAAACTAGCTGGTCCCTCAGACTGCCAGGTCCTATGCCATGAAGTGCTTTATGGGTAGTAAATTGTATTGTAGTTGGTAGCTAACTGGCAAGCAAAGCCTCCCCCTTTTTCATGTGTCTCTCACATGCAATGCATATAAGGAAGGGTGAGGGTCTGATCATGTGATCAGAGCTGACATCTTGACTTCAACCCCCTGTGAATGCCCATCACAAGAACATCTATCTAACTTGTCACCTACAACTAAGGTATAGTACCCAGATTTATCTTATTACTTATGGATCAAGCTCTGTCATTGACCTTCGATTTTATACTCACGTTACTCAGAGTGCCTAAGGCACTTAATTAATTTTATTTTCTTTAATTAATAAATTTTATTTTATTTTATTTTCTACAAATGAAATGAATTAATTTCATTTGATTTGTAAGGAATATAAATAATTTTAGAAAGATGCCCAGAGACAATTATTTGAATTTGCACCAACTGTTCTCTTTCTTGTCTATGTTTCTTAATTTTTTCTAAGACTTTCTAAAATAAATGTTAGCCAGTATATCCTGAAAGATAATCACCAGGAGGCATTGAAGTTCAGTTAAGTTAGGGTATGTGAAAAGAAAGAACTGAGTAAAATTATTACCAAGTATCATGAAGCTACATACATTTCTAACTGCCGTTAGCAGTTACTTAAATTCTAAATGGTTTTTCAAGGTTATCATATCCATATGTGAAAAGCTCTTGAAGGACAATGCTTCATTTGGAGCTTTCTTTTAAAAAGGACAGGTCCATTTTTAGTGTCTACATATCAGTCTAAAAAGGGTTTGGATGTCCTAAACCATCATAAAATAATTGGATGATATTCCATAATATATTAAAATATTACACTATTGTTGCTGTGATCAGTCATCACAATGAACAAACTCAATAGAAGGTTTGTGCTCAGCCCTGGAATATACAAATCTGAGATGTCCAGGTCTACAAGCTTATGCTGCAACTTATTACAGTTTCCAATATAACATCCTCAGTACTAAAACAATGACTTTATTCATATAATACATAGCATAAATAAATGTAGATTATATGTCAATTTTATTTGGAGCTTATGTTGATAGCAAAACTTTATTCAGAATTGGGTGCCTGAAAATGTTGAGACCCAACTACCTAAGCTAAATATAGTAGGAATTTAAAGCTACTTTCAGTATTAATGATTTTAGTTAATTAGTATTAATTCACACAGGAAAATGGACATCTTTTTATCTGCTAAAGGAGTCTTTTAATTTTAATAATAAAAATAAGATAACAACAACAACAACAGTGGACCGCCTAGTTAGCTGCTGCAAGAAGATCGCACAGACTGACTACAAACAACAGCATGACAAAGTAGCAACAATGGTGCATTAGAATATCTGCAAGAAATACCATTTGCCTGCAAGCAAGAACTGGTGGGACTGCAAAATAGACAAAGTGATAGAAAAGGAAGAAGCTAAAGTGCTCTGGGACTTTAGAATTCAAACATTCAAGCACCTGCCACATAACACCCAAGACTTAACAATTATTGATAAGAAAGACAAAAAAGTCTGTATAGTGGACACTGCAATACCTGGAGACAGTAGAATGGAATAGAAAGAACTGGAGAAAATCACAAAATACAAAGACCTGCAAATAGAAGTAGAACGACTACAGCAAAAGAAAGCAAAGACAGTACCAATAGTAATAGGTGCCTTGGGGGCAATTTCAAAACATCTGGAGCACCACTTGAACATCACTGGCATTGACAAAATCACCATTGGTCAATTGCAAAATGCAGCTTTACTTGGAACAGCTTCCATCCTGCAGCAATATCTTTAACACCATCAAGCAACCACATCTGCCTATCCCAGGTCCTTGGGAAGGACTCAATAGGTGGATAAAAATGCCAAATCCAGTCTAAACATCTGGCTGGCTGTGTGACCAACCATACTGATAAATAGCACCTTCCTCTGGCAAATATACTATTAAAGATATATAAAACTTCTTCAGTGGGGTTTTCTCAGTCCTAGAGCCATTCTTATGTATTAAAGGTGAGATCATGATTCATCCTTCAAGCAGAGTAACATGTACCTACTCAGAACTAAATGTCTCAAATAATTCTGTGTAATTTTAAATGAACTTCAAAAAAAAAAAAAAGTTAAAGATGCTCCCAAGCCAAAATCACTCTTCTCCCACTACAGGAATTATTTAGTTCCTCTCTTTTCCTGTCTGCTCTGCTGTTTGCTGAGTGCTTTCACCACTGTTTTAACTGAAGTTATATAAGACATTCAGGCCTGTTTTATTTATGTCATAATCTTATGCTCTGCAACCCGTCTTGTTCAGATTCATTTTTACCCTTTCTCAACCCTGCTGACTGCATTTCCTCCACAAAAGAGTTCATTCTTGTCCCATTCTATATTAAGTGGATGAGTAATTGGAAAGGGTTGGGGGGGGGGGTTGCATCTTTTAAAAAAGACTGAGATGGAATGAATTTCCAGAGCCTAATTCTGCAAGATGCTACCAGCACAAACATTTTAGCAGGACTTCTGACATCAAATAAAGCAAATGGTAGATTGACTGTTATGAGTCTACAGTCATGTGGCTTTCTATAGATTATTGTAGAAAAGATTATTTGATCCTTAGACAAAGAAGTAAGAAGGCCACATACCTGACTTCTTGTGAGCAGTGCAGAAGGCATGCTTATTATTAAGCCGGGGAACAAGACCAATATATGCCAGTGTTTCTCAACCTTTGGCAACTTGAAAATGTGTGGATTTCAACTCCCAAAATTCCCCAGCCAGCCATGCTGGCTGGGGAATTCTGGGAGCTGAAGTCTATGCATCTTCAAGTTGCCAAGGTTGAGAAACACTGGCATATACTTTAAAGACTAGCGTAAACAATAGAACAGGTCATCTCCTGGGCTGGAAGACAGCCAAAATATTTGGCTCTTTTACCTCAAAATATGGGCATTCCCTGAAGGACAGTTGCTAATCATACATGGTAGCTTTGCTGGTATTTATTGCTCTTGGTGAAATATAGCATGCATTAAAAAAGATGTGTGAAAATCGGAGTATATGTGGGGAATATATATCTTTAATTTAATTTATTCAATTTAGGGGCTGCCCAACTCCAAACGACTCTGGGAAGCTCACAATGTAACAACAATAACGTACAAGATGATGAATCAGGAAAAAAAAAAAGTAAAAAAGAACAAAAAAAAAGCACAAGAACAAGATGGCAGTCCAGCAAACATACACAAAGCACATCCCACAAGGGCTCCATCCACCCCAGCCCCAGGATCTTGGAGAACAGTCAGGCCTTTACAGTCTTCTGGAACACTGTCAGGTTGTAGTTTCATGGATTTCAGAACTTCATTCTAGATGGCAGGTGCCACAACAGGGTAAACACTCTTCTTGGGTGTCGAAAAATGACACTGCTTGCCCAGCCAGTCAGACACCATGGGAAATAGGCAGTCCTCAAATAACCAGGCCCATGCCATGTAGCCAGAACCTTGAATCACACCTGGAAGCAAACTGGGAACCAGTGCAGCTGTGTAGCAAAGGTTCACACGGGCATACCAGAGCATACCCGTCACTGCCCACGCCACTGCATTCTGGACCAGTTGAAGCTTCCAAGTAGTCCCATATAGAGCACACTGCAGTAGTTGAGCTGTGAAGCGACTAAGATATGAGTGACTATCTGAAGGTCCTCCCAATCCAGGAAAGGGTAGAGCTGCTGAACAAGATGAAGCTGTGCAAGGGCCCTCTTGGCCACAGCTGTCACTTAAGTTTTGAGCAGAAGCTGTGAGTCCAAGAAGACCCCCAGACTGCAGACCACTCTTGAAAGGGGAAGAGCAACTCCATCCAAGCTTAAAGATGAAATATCCCCAGACCCCGCCCCGATATCCACAGCCACATGGACTTGGTAGGATTGGACTAAAGACAGTTCCTCCCCGCTCAGGCCCACAACCTACAAACCCTGGGTCAAGCTGGCCTGAGATCAAAAGCTATTAATTAGGCATCATCAGTGTACTGAACCCCAAACCAGCAGATGACTCACATATAGGTGTTAAATAAGGGGGGCAAGAGCGTGGAACTCTCCACAAAGGAGGGTCCTAGGGATCGACCTCTCCCCCTTAACTAAATTTGACTGGAACCAGCCTGGAAGGAAGGACGACAACTGTAAAACAGTGCCACTAATCCCCAACCTCCAGAACCAGTCCAGAGGGACACCATGATCAACAGTATCAAAAACCACTGAGAGATCAAGGAGCACAAGAATAGATGCACCACCCCATCCCAGCTCTGCAAGAAGTCATCAATGAGCATGACCAAGGTTGTTGCCATGCTGAATCCTGGACTGAAACTTGACTGAGATAATCTGCTTCTTCCAGGGTTCTCTGTAGCTGCAGTCCAACTACCTTCTTAACAAACTTCCTCCAAAATGGAAGGTTGGAGACAGGATGATAGTTCTCTAAAATCATTGGGTCCAAGGACAGCTCTTGAGAAGGGGGCATACCACCACCAACATCCCAGTTTTCTTTGAAAAAAAATTAGCATAAGGAAATGTCCATTTAAAAAATGGAGTAATTCCATAGAAAAACTATATTGCAGTATACAAGCAAGATGCATAGAAAAATATAACATTTGTGAGAGAGCAAATACAGGATTTAATGGAAAACATGTTTCACTGAAAAATTATCCAGAGCCATATAGAACACCTGCAGCACTGACATGGACCAGATTCTTGTGCTGCATATTTTTTTGTAATTCGCCACTCTGTGTAAACAATTCTTATAATCCAGAAGGCATTATTCCTAATTTCTTGGAAAATGTGGACTACAACTACATTCAGGAAACTGTGTCAAGCAAGCAAACTATTTAAGTTACTACAAAAGTCTTCACAGAAGGACAAATACTGTATATAGAGATACATCCAAAGTGCAGGCTTACCTTTTACCAAGGTGTGCTTATCTGTGGGTGATGAACGAGCAAGGACCCGAAGTTTTGGCCATATCTTATCAATGCGTTCCTGCTCTATCTGAAAATAGTAACAAAAATAATACATTCGTCAGTCGTTCAGTACATGTCAGTGTCATTTAAAAGAAATACCATTTTAAGGTCAATGTTTTCCCCAGGACTAAAATATGAGAGTACTGGATGAAAAGAAATATTCTAACCCCCAATCAAATTAATATGCCATCTCCTGTTGTCTGAGTGATATTGTTGCATTATTTTTCGAACATTGTGCTGCTTTCAACATGTTTCTCTATATTATGTTCTAAATAGTCCTGATGGATACCAGGTTATTTTTTATTGCTGTAGCTTCTGCATCAGTTCTTTTATAAATGAAACAGGCATTTTCTAAGCTCACTAAAACACTTGTGATTAAATGTAGAGTAGATATAAGTAGGTTTCTATCATATCTAAAAAATAATGCTGTACTTTATGACTGCAGACTTCTACAATTAAAAGTAAGCACCACTTTATCAGTGGGATCAGTCCTGTTATGAATAATCAAAAAGTCAATAGAGGTACACATGATGGAAGGAAGGAAGGAAGGAAGGAAGGAAGGAAGGAAGGAAGGAAGGAAGGAAGGAAGGAAGGAAGGAAGGAAGGAAGGAAGGAAGGAAGGAAGGAAGGAAGGAAGGAAGGAAGGAAGGAAGGAAGGAAGGAAGGAAGGAAGGAAGGAAGGAAGGAAGGAAGGAAGGAAGGAAGGAAGGAAGGAAGGAAGGAAGGAAGGAAGGAAGGAAGGAAGGAAGGAAGGAAGGAAGGAAGGAAGGAAGGAAGGAAGGAAGGAAGGAAGGAAGGAAGGAAGGAAGGAAGGAAGGAAGGAAGGAGGGCTCACATGACCATGTTGGGAACATTTTATAGTTACGATATATAAAGAGAATATTTTAAAAGGTGCTTTTCAGCTTGAATGTACTCAGGAAGGATCACTGGATTGTGCAAATTTTCTGTGCCAGTTCACTGTTCCAGATGGTAAATTGTGGATTACATAATTTCCAATAGAAGAGAATATGTGTAGCTCAGGATTGAACTGTGGGGTTCTTGGTGCTCTCTGAGCTTGGTGGTTTGCTTGCAGACATTTCATTACCCGACTAGGTAACATCATCAGTGTGAGGTACCTAGCTGAGTTTGCACTGATAATGTGACCTAGTTGGGTAATGAAACATCTGTAAGTTAATAACCAAGCTCAGAGAGCATCAAGAACTCCACATTACATGTTCTCTTTAAATAAGGTTTGCAAACTATGCTTTAATCCTGCTTCTGAGGGATGGGACAAACCAACGTTTACCAGTTCAGATGTCATTTCCATGAACGTGGAAGTCACATATTAGAAGGAACAGGGAGCAGGCAAAACAAGCATGGAGTTTTCTGAAGGGGTACCACATTTTGATAAGGATGCACAAATGAACAAATCAGTAATGAAAACTGAAAGGTATGCAAGGGTTTAAATTACTCTTGAACATTTCTGTCATCATTTAATATTATAGAACTGCCATTTCTGAATTATATCTCCTGCACAGGAAGCTGCAAAAATGTGAGGGGCAGCACATTAAAAACAAACAACTGCTTTCACTTTTTCCAGTTCTCTGGCAATTGGACAGAATAGATACTGTTCTGCACAAGACTTACATCTCCCTTCTCGTTTCGAATCCTTCGATTATGCAAGGGTTTAAATTACTCTTGAACATTTCTGTCATCATTTAATATTATAGAACTGCCATTTCTGAATTATATCTCCTGCACAGGAAGCTGCAAAAATGTGAGGGGCAGCACATTAAAAACAAACAACTGCTTTCACTTTTTCCAGTTCTCTGGCAATTGGACAGAATAGATACTGTTCTGCACAAGACTTACATCTCCCTTCTCGTTTCGAATCCTTCGATTAAAATCCTTTCCTTCAATGCAGAGGAAGTCTTCACCAGGGTGAATAATTCCACATTTTATGGCAATGGCACGAGCTGTATTGATGTTATCTCCCGTAACCATGCGGACTGTAATTCCAGCTCGTTGGCACTTTCTTATGGCTTCTGGGACCTAATCAAACAGTGAGATGGAACAGAAAAGCATAATAAAAACTCATCAGAATGGTATTTCAGAATGAAGGATTTTCAATGATGAAAGCTGCATCATTAGTAAAACAAAACAAGAGAGACACCATGGGCCTTTTGGATTTGAAAGAGTATACAGCCCCTAAGAACGACATATATGCAGAAGAGAAATTCTGAATAGCTTGCAGAATGCCATGTACTCTCATTGTCAGCTTATGGACTCTTTTCATGGTCCTTAGAAACAAACAGATTGCTAATGAGGAATGGATGATTTACTTTCTAAAGGAGATGAAAATCCTATTAGAGGTCTGCTCATAATTCAACACAGAATGTTAAAGAATTTATTTTGAAGAAAAAAAATACTAGAAGCATAATAAATCATAATATTAGAAAGTAGACATGTGTTAAGTAAGCAAATATCAGCACAATGGCACAAGATGGTTATGCTATTTTTTAACATTGAAATAATAATATGTTCCAATCTTTCTGACCTGAAAACCACATCACCATATTCCAGGACTGTAAGTGAGAAAGCAATCCTAGTGATGGATCACACTTGTCATACACTCAGAACTAAGCACTCTCATGGTGATAAGCTTGTTTGAAACAACAAGGAGGATGCTAATGTTTGTACAGAGCAGGGATGGACTGCTTTTTGATGTCCAAGTTCATTATTTCATTTTTTTTTTGCTTTCCCCCCTTTTTATTATGTTGTTATAAATCTTAGTACATTCAGAGCTCTCCATTATAACTATGTAATGACTGAAATTGCTTTTTGTCCCATTATATGGCTGCCTTCCTTTCCCTCCAGGCATCCAGCCATTGGTAGAAGTGCTAATAACTAAGCATGTCTCCTAATTCAGTTCTAACCTTGGGCAGGGGGTTGGACCAGAAGACCTCCAAGGTCCCTTCCAACCCTATGATTCTATGACTACTGATTAGTCCACAAGAAAGAGAGCAATACAGATATTGCAATCTATGGAAAACCTACAAGTCATTAAAATGTGAAATATAAAATAAATATGTTTAAGACTCTTTAAACAAATTTGCAGAACAATAAACTCGAATTGACCTAACCTGAATTGCATTATGGCCTCCTAACACAAATGCAAACAGGATTGTCTGACTATGCAAATTCCAGCTATAGGGGAAACAGCTGCACCAGGACCTAACATTTTAGGAGTGAAGAATGGCTTTCCCAGGAGACTAAATCTTGTTATCTGAAGCAAGTCTTCAGGGTGGATTTCATATTTTTTTTCAATATATATTTGGAAAGAAACTGTGTTCTCTTATCTGGGATTCATAAGTCAGTTGCATGTGAAAAAAACACTCAAATTATCTTTAATGCATGCTGGAGCCTGGTGAAGTAAAAGCTTAAGGTATCACTTCTGTCACAGTAAAGCAATTATATGAGCCATTCTAAACAAGTTGTTCTAGTGTACTGTAATATGGTAAGCGGCCCACAGCTTAACATGCTGGGAATCTCAGTGTGGACCTACACTAGAGATGAGTGAATTGCTGAAAATGTTCTCCGCATCAGTAGGTCAATGTTGCTGTCTTGGTCAGCTTTTTCTACAGATTTTCTTTTTAAAAAGCAAAGAAACTATAATTATAATACTCTTTTCAAAAGGCTATTATTGTGGAAGCAAAAAGAAATAGTAAAAGACAGTAAAATCCATCTTCTAGTTCCGTTAAAATTTCTATCTCCTGCAAAGGAGATTTCTAGCTCCCAGTCAGAATTGCTATAGAATTTATTCTGGTGTTTTAAAGCTTGCTTTACTGTGTCAAGAATAATAATAATAGGTCTGCTCCCAGCTTCCTCCATAAAGAGTTATCTTTACTTGCAGATTATTGAAGAAATTAGTGAACGACAGAATACAGGACCGTTTTACACATCCCTCAGCCGTCGCATCAGCTGCCTTACCTCACCCAAGTCTTTCAAATAAAACAGTGAATGACTTTCTATCAAAATGAATGAGAATGGCTGAAATTAATGCTAGTTAACTAGTTAGGCGCCACAGAATCACGTTTGATTTCTGGCCCTCTATAAATGAAAGCTTGTCATTTCAGCCTGTAAAGGCATTCCAGTCATTTCTCTGATTGCATTTATCCATTGCCTTTCCTTTCCAGTTCTGCTTTGTTCTTGTTCATTGCCTGCTTGCATCACATGCTAAAGTTATGTGAAATTCTGTTTGCTGCTTATCACCACAAGGGAACAATCAGTCTTTATGTGGTCAAGGAATGGCTGGTTTTTCTTGCAGTCCATGGCACTCTCAGTGACTGTCTCCAAATCCACTGTTCAGAAGCATCTATCCTTCTCTTTCTCTTTCTCTGTTTTTAGCTTTCACAGCTCTCCAGGACCACTAGAAAGACTACTGCTTTAACTATTCTGATATTTGCTGCTATTGAAAAGCCCTTCTGCTTCACAATCTGGTCTAAATCTGCTATAATCTTCCTCTCTAGAATTAATCTCCAGCACACTGTCCATCTTTGTATATTCTGGAGCCCAAGAAAATGAAATTTTCTACCATCTTCCCTTCTTAATCATCAACTGTAAATTCACTAAGCATGCAGGTTGACATAATGTTTGTCTTCTTAAATGCAGGGGGAAAATCAGCACACGCTTTAAATAAATAAAAATAGTACTTAGCAAAATAGTTCAGTTTCTTATGGTCAAATGAGAACTCTCTTTAACTTTCCTACAGCAAAATCTGCTAGTGAACTGAGAATGAACCTCCCTACCCTCAAAAGATCTATTAAGTGACAGTTTTAGACCTCCAGAACTTTTCTCCACCTTGGATCAAAGTCCAGGCTTCTCCACTGACCCATCATTTTCTCCCACAAAAAAATATTTCCTCTTTTCCTGCTTCAATGTTGGAAGAAGCAGTAGTGACGTAAGGGGAAAACACAAGGAGCAAGGGGTGGGGGGGAAACAGTCTGCTTCCCTCATCCTGTACACCACTGTTCCTAATACCTGACTTGATGAGGACTGACAAAAGTATATTTCAAATAGATTCTTGATAAATCAGAATTTATTCCTACCCAGCATACATTCCAACAGAAGAACTTAGACAATTTCTGGGCTAATCTGGTTTGGAACATTCAACCACTTTTGTTTAAACTGTGATTGGTATATTTTGTTTTCAAAACAAAGAAGAAAGCTTTACATTTATATATAGATCTCATCTGTTCTTCTGTTATTTATACTAAAAGAGAGGTGTTATTTTTTTTGCCCCATTAAATAAAAAAGGGTATAATGATTTACTCTGCTGGCAATCTGGCACTTTAACACACAAGGCAACTCCAAAGTTATCAAAAAGAAAGTAGAAAACCTATTCATTCAAGGATATTTAATACTGGATGAGTGCAATTGAGAAGTGATGTCAATCAACCTCTATATGCAGAAGTTTCACATCTTTAATCAGTAGAGGGGTTTACATACTCAGTTGTATGTACTGTTTTTATATTGCGTTATGCTTGGAAATATTGAAAAGGCGGCATTTTTAAAAAACCTGATTTTTTTACTACCTACAGAGAAAAAAAAAAATTCTGAGCTTTTGGGGCTTTCTGTTTTGTTTTTAGAGTATTTTTACCTCTGATCTTACAGGATCTTCTATGCCAACCACGCAAATGCAGGTAAGGTCAGTTAAAATATCATTTTCATTGTCCCAGTCCGGTTCAGGGTTGCTGGGAAAGTCTCGAAAAGCAACACAGATGGTTCTCAATCCATCACAGGCCATGGGCTCAATCACTTTCTTAACCATCTCATCCCGATCACGCGGTCTGAAAATCCGAGGCTCACCTGCAGCATTAAGAATCTTAGAACATCTGGAAAGAAAGGAAAATGACTGGATCACAATAGCAGAGAATTAAGATTCAACACTTGAGAGGGATGTGTTAGATTAGGTATTTCAAATAGAAATAAAAGAATAATACAGCAGCAGCAGCTTGGATCATACCTTCCTCAATTAATGAGTGATGAAATTCCAATTAACAAAAGAAGATGACTTTTTCCAAACAAAGAGACTGAGTCAAAGGATCTCTTTACCTCCTCCCTTTATATGGTAGTTCCAATCCTGCCCAAGGTACGTACTTATAATGAAGAAAAACAGAAATTGGTGCCACTTGATACATATTTTACTCAGGAGAACTGCCTAGTAAATGACGATTCACTAAAAGAATGAACGTACTACAAATTCTACATAAAAGGATGTCCCACTGTCTTGATGGAGATTGGGAGATTCAGCGGACATACATCTATCTGACTGCCTGTCTATGGCAGTAGGATTTATATTCACAAAGGAACTGGGAACACCTCCATACAGAATTAATGAAAAAGGGTTCAAAGCAAATACCGTGCACATACTTCTTTAGGACAATTTCAGAAGCCCCTTTGCTATACATTCGGAAGCCGTCATCTGGCATTTTAATGACAGTGCTCATTGACTTCCTCACAGAGTTAAATGTGTAAACTTTGTAGAGTTTCTCTTCAGGCATTTGATTCCGAACAAGCTGATAATCCTGCTTTAGATCCAGAACAAATCCCAGCAATCCACATTCTGTCTTGTTGCCAACCTGGCGAGGTAGACCACCTTCCTTTTCTGGTGGCTAAGGAGAGAGGAAGAATTGGGCGTCAGGGTGTGTCACGTTAAGCAGCAAATAGCATCCTCACCTGATCTCGCCCTCTGATTACATGTAGCTCTTCCCTAATGCTTTCATTTATTTTGAAAGAAAAACAGTTGCAGAAGCCTGAAAAGTTTACTGGAACATTACAAAGGGGTCTTGGTGCTTTAAGGTTGTTTCTGTTCCACCTTGCTCTCAGACTCCTTTCTTTCCCAAAGTGAAAAAAAATCAGAAAAAGCCTGTCTTCTTCCCAATTCCAATTCTGTGCTCAAGGCTGCTTGTTCCGGTTGCTTTCAATATCATAACAACAATGAAAAGCTCAGATTTAAACTACACATAATTAAAGTAACTTTTAATTTGGAGACTTGTCTCCTAATACAGTAAATTATCTATCCATTGCATTTAAAAACAAAAAACTATTCATTTAAAATATTTCTATCCCGCTCTTTGTTCTAATGCAAGAATTTTAAAATAGAATTTAAAAAAAAAATTGATTTCAAAATATTACTTTAAAGCTAGTTTGAAAACATGATTACCTATAATTGCAATGGAGTTTAAAACTTGTTTTGCTACAAAGCAATGATTAATATTTACAAATGAAAAGAAAGCAATTGTTCTGTAGTTCATCTGAACACTAGTTTTGGACTAGATGTTCTCAGAGCAAATCCTTCATAGCTATGTGTAGACACACTGGATAATCTGAAGTAAGCTAATGTTACTCCTTCACAGTTTTCAATCTGCAAAGTGGATGTAATAATGAGTTGGACGCATTCTGACCATCATAGGTTTCACAACGAGCTTAATCCAAACCTCAGCCCTCCAGATGTGTCAGATTTCAACTGCCAGAATTCACCAATGTAGTGTAATGATTGGATTAGGAGCTGGAAGACCCAGATTCTACTGCCCCCCACCCCTGCCAAGGAAATAAAAGGAGGGAGCACTGTGTATATTACTTGGAGCTCCTGAAGTAAAAAAATCAAACCTAAGTGTAACATATGAATAAAATAAATATCTCTTTTGGGGGGGAGAAAGGGTTGGATTGGTGTACATTTGATCAGATGCATGACTTAGGAGCTTACTTCCAGGTAAACATACTTAGGATTGTGCAATCCTCTGAAATACAGATCATATTGAGAAATGTAGCTCAAGATGCCAACAGTCCAGTCTTTCTGTTTCGCTTGCACTAATGATCAGGGCAGCATTCTTATAAGGGATGTGCAAAAGATCTGAAGGTGTATTTCACTTTTGCCTGACTTCTGGGAACTCCTTAGGTTAGCCAGGAGAAGCTTATGTACATACACTTCTTCTGACCCTCTCAAACCAATCCAAGACAATCACAGTGAGAGGTCCCCAATTTTGTATCCATCTGAAAGATATTTGTGGTTCAGATAAAGAAAGATATCCCCGAAGACAAGCAAACTCAGGGATAAACATGACATTGATAAACATGACATTAAAACAAAGATGCTGGAAAAAAATGAAATTGTACATGTTTTTCCTAATGTATCTATCTGCCAAACCAATTTCCTTGCAGTGGAAATTACTGCCTCAATCTAGAGCAGATTATTTTATTTTCTCAAAAGTTTTATATTCCCTTTATTTTCTTCAAAGCGGTAGGCATTTCACCCTTAATGGGCAAATAAATGCAAACATAAATACAAGATAGCAGCAACATACACACAAACACACCAGGAGCTATAAAAATATTTGGAATGTTAAAATAAGCAACTGATGAACTAGCAGTTTTCAGCATCAGATGCAGCCATGGACAGACCTCCTTCCTGGATTTCAAGGATTGTTGGGACATACAGTATAAGAGGGTCTTCAAAGATGTTCACAGTATACAAGCAGGGTCATACAGGAGAAGGTAGCAGCCCATCCACTATTCTGGTCTTCAATATTTAGGGCCCATGCCACCATCTAGAATTGTACCTGACAACAGAAATAGCCCCTTGTATTCTGGACCAATGGTACTTTACAAATATTCTTCACAGCGAGCCCTTGGTAAAGGAAATGCTATAACAATCCAGACAGAAGTCATGGGAGGACAAGTGCCCTCATAAGTCTTAAGAGGCTCTTAGACTCTTTTCCTAATTTTCAAAACAAAGGACTAAAGTAATTAAATGATAATGAAAACGATTATTCTTTTTACATTATCACAGTCTCTGGACATTATAAGATGGCTAATTTCTAGTTTACTTGCTTAGTGATTTATGTCATTATTAGAGGACTCTGTCTGCAATGTCTTTATACTACTCATGTCAGAAGACTATTTTGCAAATTCAAAATATCCAAACTATTTTGATAATTCAGGTCTATTCATTTTATAATACGCTTTCTCTGTATCAAGAACCTCACAGTCAATGATTTACTGAAGAGCAAAAATGTAGTCTGTTCATCCCCAGCCTGGCCTTCTGCTTATTGTCTCTTTTAGAATTCGGCCAAACACTTGCATTCATTTTCCCTATAACAACCCTCTACCAATCATCAAGCAGCAATGTAGTTTTCACATGCAGATTAAAAACAAGTGGTACAGCAACTTCATGAGAAGAGCACCCCCAAATGTTGACATTTCTCCAGGTATACCACCCACACTGTAGCCTTGCCATTTTTTAACATTCCTCAGCACTTACAACTTCTTCTTCATCATTTTTTATCAGTCACTAACATTTATAACTTTCATTTCAATTCCACCCTTTGACATTTCACTATCAGTTTCACGCAAACCTCTAAAATACTCCTTCAGGCTTTTCTTCACTTCAGTTTCGTCCCAAGTATTTTCATCACTTTTGTTTTTAATTCTGTTCAATGGGATGGAGGCTCCTCATTTATCCCTCTTACAAAACATTTTTTAATTTCCATCCAAAGCTTCACCTTGTGGGGGTTTTTAAAACTCTTTTTGACTACATTCTTTGTAACTATTTTCTTCTCTTTATACACATTCTATAGTATCTTTTTATCCTCATTTTTTTCACTTTTTCCACCAAGTTCTATTATCTGAGTACTGTTTTTGTTCCAATTGTAGATGATAGTGGATGGCATGCTGGTTCTGTTGGCACTGCATGGGCTGCACCAACTAATGTGCATCTCTTCCTTTGGTCAACCAGGTCCATACATTCCCCTGATATCCAGACCTGGGTGCATTTATGGGGATCAGGGCAGAGATTTGGAGCATGTGCTTACAGTTATAGCAAACTGATCTGCAACTTCCTCAGTATTTTCTGGTTCTCTTATATCTGCATGTACATAATAACAGTCTTACATTTGGGCCACATACTCAAAACAGACAACAGTAATTCAGAATGTTACGCTGTTTTCCCCAAACTCATTTCTGTTTCTTTCATCATAACCATTCACTGGAACATGTCAATTCCCATTACCCAACTAAGACTTCCTATTTTCATATGCCTCACAACAATGTAGATGTCCCTTATTCGTACTGTCTTATATAAATTTAGCCCTTTCATTCACAATTAGACTTAGAACTTTTCCTGCCTACACGCATTCATCAACTGTGCTCCACACTGATAGATCATCTTCATTCAGGCCTATCACACTCTTGTCCTTTTTCTTACTTTCACAAACAGATCATACGTGTTTTCTTGCTTTCATTTCACTAGTTAATTCATGCTCTTTACCATTTATTTATCCTATGTACCATATCACAGTTTTCCATCTGTCATGATCATCACCAGATAGGAACTATAGAAACTAACTTATGCTGTCTATCACAGCTTTAGTCAATTGAGGCATTTATGTAATACTTCTTAGTAAGAAAGAAGGAGCTGGCTAGATTACTAGTCTTCCTTGTATCACTTACTTACATACCACATGTAGCATTCTCTCAGCAATTTTAGAACACTTGGGCTAGTACTACCCAAGTCCAGTTTTAGCTCAAGCATGCTCACATTATTCTATGCAAGCTAAAATTTCAAATCTAGAAACTACTTGCAAGGCGCATACTGTTACTCATATCCCACCAATTAGGATGTATATACAATATACTGACACACACAGGATATAAGTATTCACTATGTTCTACAGTAAAACTCTGATTTTGTAGTCCAGTTGGGGAGTTGGAGCGGCCATTCAACTCCTAATGTTTATAAAGCAGTTTATAGATAATGTACTTAAATGTTATGTAATCTATGTAATTTTTACATTAATTATATTAATTTGCACAATTTAAAAAAGCTGTCAAACGTTGTCTGGACTGATTCACCAAACAGCAAACTTCGCAGGTTGTTTGTTGAAGCAGTTCAGATTTGGATCTTGTCTGTTGCAACTGCTGAAAGGGGTCTGTAAAATTAGGTGTTACTGATTTTGGAAAGAGGTGCTGCAATACACACACACATAAAGGACTTGGGATGAAAACTACATCTTATATAAAGTTATAAACCTAAAACTGATTCATCATTTCAAAATTCTATACGAACCAATTGCCATTTTATACCTAGTATGTAAAAATAATTCTCAGACCTCACTATAAACAATCTCAAATTGATATTCGAGCATCCTTAATATCTCTATAATGAGAAACAACAGAACAGAAATAACAGAATAAAATGAGGAAAACGTGTCTATTTGTATCTTTACAAAGAAAAATCTATTCACAAACAGAAAACCTTACAAATTTTAAAAAGCAATAATTGATGATATAACGAAACCATACAGTTCTTCATCCCTTTTAACACTTATAAAAGAGAAAAAGAGAAACATTCATAGATCTATATTTTCCTTAAAAAAGAAGAGAAAAATCTTTCAGACTCCAGGTTAGATCATTCAAACAAAGATTTCAAACGAAACATGATGCAGGCGGCACAATTAAGTTAAGAATCAGGAATATAAGGGACTTGTTAGTTTATACAGACATCATATCTTTCCAATAGTTCTACATCCCATTTTGTGTTCAGTCTGGGTCAGCATGTGAATATCATTAATGTGGACACTAATTTTTGCAGTTATATTCTCTTTTTCAAATCTGA